TTTATTTTTTAAGAACAAAACATCAAATTAAATAACATTTCGTTATAAAATATATTTTCACTAATCAAAACCGAACAAAATTTTCATTTACCCAACTTCCTGTCAAAAAAAATTTTCTTTTTATTTTACACTTTCTATTAAAATTTATTTTAACGTTTTTACACCGTCGCCGTTAATTTAAATTCTTTTAATAAAACATAGTTTTAGTTAGAGTAAGGGGTTAAAGGTTACCGTAAAAAAAAAAATTATTCACTAACGTAATATTCAAAAATGAAAAAAAAGGTTTTTTTTTTTTTTTTAAAAAAATATAAATTAACATTTAAAATTTTAAGGTTTTTAATTTTTTTTTTTTTTTTAAAAAAAAAAAGAAAATCTAAAGTTTCAAACTTATAATAAAAAGAAAAAAGGGGTTTTTTTTTTTTTCCAAAAAAAAAAAAAAAAAAAAGTAAGCAAAAAAAGAAAAAAAAGAAAAAAAAATGAAAAAAAAAAAAAAAAAGTTAAAAAGCAGGGATTAGAATTTTACAAAAAAAAAAAAAAAAAATCAACCCCAGCAATTACAGTAAAAGCTCTTTTCTTTTTTATTTTATTATTATTTTTTAAGCTCGAGATTAAAAAACGTCTACGAAAAATAAAAAAAAAAAAATCCAAGAAGGATTCCCGTATGAAGGTTTCGTTCGGCCTTTTCAAAAAAAACAACTCGGGAGAGTATTAACGAATTGAAAAATAAAACAAAAACAAAAAAAAAAAAACAGAAAAACAATGAAAAAAAAATATTTAAAAATTAAACTGGAAGTAAAAATTTCTTGTTAAAGAAAATAATTTCCCACAAGTTTCTTTTTTACTATTATTTACTATTTAGTGATTTTTGTTTTTTTAAAAGCTTTTCGTGGGTATCAAATACAAAAAAGAAGAAAAAACTGTTCTGCACATAAGATAAACATAATCGTTAATTTTTTAAAATAACCGATATCGAAAAAAATTAAAAAAAACCGTTTTTAATTATAAGATAAACATAATTGATAAATGTTTTTTAATTATTGATGATAATTCTCTTTAAATTTTTTCTTAAACCGGTACCGAATACAAAAAAGTAGAAAAAAAAACTTATATGTTCGTAAGATAAACATAATTGTTAAGATTTTTTTAATAACCAATATCAGATACAGAAAACAAAAAAAAACTGTTATACTCGTAAGATAAGCATAATCGTGAATATTTTTTTAATTCATGATAATAATTTTTATTTACATCGGTACCAAATAGAAAAAAAGAAGAAAAAAGTGTTACGTTCGTAAGATAAACATAAGCGTTACAAATTTTTTTATAATAATATTGGTATCAAGTACAAAAAAAAGAAGAAAAAAAGAGTTACGTTCGTAAGGTAAACATAATTTTTAAAATTTTTTTTATAATTAGTATCAAATACAAAAAAGAAGAAAAAAGTGTTACGTACGTAAGATAAACATAATCGTTACAAATTTTTTTAATAACCGGTATCAAATACAATTACAAAAAACAAATAAAATCCTATTATATTCGTAAGATAAACATAATCGTTACAGATTTTTTTTGTATAATGATGATAATTTTATTTCTTAAAATTTTTCTTAACACCGGTACCGAATACGAATAAAGATTAAAAAACCTGTTTAATTCATAAGATAAACATTATCGTTAAAATTCTTTTTAAAATAAAATGATGATATTAATTTTCTTTCTTTAAATTTCTCTTTATTAAAAAAATATACTTTTTTTTTTTTTTTTTTTTTTTTTTTTTTTTACTAATTAAATCTTAAATTTAAAAAATTTTTTTTTGTTGTTTTAAAGGAAACAACGAATAAAATAAAAAAGCAGAAGATTAATAATAATAATAATAATAATAATAATAATAATTTAAAGAAGGGTCTTCTTCTTCTTCTTCCATCGTAAAATTTTTCAAAAAAAAAAAAAAAGGGATAAAAGCAAAATGTAATAAATTTATTAAATAATAATAATAATAATAATAATAATAATAAAATTTTGAAATACTTGAAAATAATAAAACGACGGTGACACGTTTTACAAATCAAACTTTTGTCCATTTTGTAAAATTTATTATTTATATTTAAAAAATTTAAAATTAAACTAAGTCTTCACACAAATCCGGGGACTCGAATGATTTAAATATAAATTTTTTAAAATCATTTTTCATTTAACATAAAAATAAAATAAAATTGTTTAAATATT